ATGGCCAGCCTCACAGATGCTAAGCCCTGGTCCTCGGTACAGGCCTCCAAGAGGCTCCCTAGATTTCTTCCGTGAAAGCGACTTACATCCCTATGCACACTCCCGTGTTGTTCCAGAATCCAGAGATGCTGGTCCAGAGAGTTGTGCCGTTGCCCCCGGCCACATCTACCATGCTGGTCAAGGCCTTCAGCCACTCTGAGCTTTGGGTTTCTTGTCTTCAAAGCTGAGCTATGAGGGCTTCTTCTGTGAGTTCTGTCTTTGTGAGAACAAAATGAAACAAATTCAGAGAAAGGAAGCTGAAATCCTATCATCCTGAGGGCCTTCTCTGGGCCAAGCTGCTTCACACGTGATAAATCCCAACACCAGCCTTGAGAGTTAGTAGACCTGTTCCACAGGTGACAGCATCCAGCTCTGAGGATTTGTCTTTCTCCCAGGGGCTCCTTGTTCCCAGGGTAGAATACCTACTTGTGAATCCCAATGTGAGGTGTCAAAGGTGGGACAGCAGAGGTGTGGGGGGGGGGCGGGGGGGGGCAGCATAGACAGCCGTCTCCTGGCTGTGTCGCTCCACGCATGCACCAAAAGTGGGGAGAAAGAAGAGTCATGGTTGGGATGGGAGAGCCATGGGTGCCCAGGGCAAGGGGGCAGGAGGTGGGATCTCCAGTGTCCCCACACCCTGCCTAGAACATGAGCGCTCCTGGGTGAGCATTCTCTGGCCTCTCTTGGACGGCGAGGGTGAGAAAGATGCCATACCTCCTTTGTGTGATTTTGTTTTACCGCTCTGGGACAAAATGGTTTGTCTATAAAGGGGGTGGGTAGTATCAAATAATACCGAAAAAAGGTTCTTTATTTAGGCAGCATTTTCAAACTTCAGGTCTTTTTGTATCACTGTGTGGATTTTTGCTGCATCTCCAACCACTTATCCTATTACATGCTATTAGTTTAAATCTACTTGCTTTTTAAATCATATATTTAAAAAAAATGAAATCAATCCTGAGCCATATCTGAAATGTCTGCTTTAATGTACGAGTTATACTTTTTTTTCTCATTACTTTTAAAAACAAATATATAAATCTGTATTTCTCACAATTAATGTTTTCAGAATACCACCTGAAGTCATCTTGTCGGTTACACACTGGAAAACAATGATTCGGTGCAAACCTTCAACCTTGTACTGAGGTCCTTCCCTGAAAGGCCAACCATTGAACTCCGAAGGAATGAGCAACCGAGGGGCAGAGGGCCACAGGCAGGCACCTGAAGTGGGCACCTGGGATCTAGAGACGCACCTCAACCACCAGACCCCTGCCTGCCTCCCACCTTGAAACCCGCATGACTGTGGTGTTTCTGAAGAGCAGCAACTCAGAGTGCTGAGCAAAGAGAGCCCTGGAAGATCTCACAGGGAGGGGGACCTTGCTTTGGGCCTTGATGGGGAACCAAGTTTCCTGGCAGAGAAAGACATGTGGAGCCTTTTAAGTAGAGACCATGGCACAAGCAGAGGACAGAGGAGAAAGGGTGGTGGGCTCTGCCATCCAGAATCTGGGAGGCACCCCTATGGCTGAACACAGAGCTCAGGCTAAAAGGCATAGTCTAGTAGCCCATGGCCCCCAGGAGTGTCGGCCAGTACCGTTTTAAATTTAGATAGCTTGCCAACTGAAAAACTGTGGAGATTTTACCTAAAATGCAGATTCCTGGCGTCCCTGTTTAAAATCTTAACTCATTCCCCTTCCCTCTGCTCCATTTTCCCATAGCACCTAAGAACCTTCTATAGATTATATGTTTAATTACTTATGTTTTCTGCCATTTTCCTTCCCCCTCCTTCTCCCCCCTCCCATGTAAATTCCAGGACAGGAGGTTTGGGGTTTTCTTTTTCTTTTTTTTTTTGCTTCCTTTACTAAAGTACTTCAAACAATTCGCCAGTGTCTGGCACATAGTGGGTGCTCAATAAGTATTTTAATAAATGAATGGAAGAAGCAGGGGGCTCTGATGTATCCCACACTAATATCTATCCTGGGGTGGCAGGGCCCAGCCAGGCAGGAAGCCTCGGTTCTCCTTTGCCCCAGCCCACGCGGGACACAGGGACTCCCTCAGCTGCGGGGACAAAACCCGATTTGAGGTAAAGAAGAAGCAAGTGAGAGACTGGCATTTGCTTTAGCAGGATTTGCAGGAAAGGCTTCACGCGGCTTCCGCCGGGGTCTGGGTTCCAGCTCCGAGTCTCGCCAACTCCCGGCTTCTTGATTTACCGGGGAGCACCGCAGCTTTACCAGGCTGCGTTGGGATCAGGGGAGGGCCTGTGCCTTGGTCCACCCAGACCCCGGGGGCGGGATGGGGGGGAGACTTTGCCACCAGAGGGCGCCCGAGCTCAGTCGGCGAGCTCTTTCTCATCTGTGGCTGACCAAGGCTCACTAGTTCCGCGATTACCCACCCCGCTCTCCCGAAAAGAGGTGGGGCCTGAGGAATGCCCGAGGACTGTAGTCCCCACTGGATTGTTACTTCTTTAACGGCAGGGACCAAGCCAGTGCATTTCCCGGCTTTACGCCCAGTGCCCAGAAGTGAGCTCGGCCTGGAGTGAATGAATGAATAGATGAAGTTCACAGGGCATGTAACTGGGCGTGAAAATAGTTTTGGAAAAAAAAGACACAAAAGACACCCATCCTCACGACCTGAGCCCAGAGCTCTTGCAGCTTTCTGTTGACCGCCCCCTCCTGTGGCCCCCGGCTGGAGCTACTGAGCCCAGGCCCCGAGGGCTCTGCCCATTCCTCCTATGGTCCGGACTACCGGACTTCCCAGGTACAGAGACCTGTCCCCACCGCGCGCTCCTTGGATGGGGCCTGGTATAGAATTCACTGCACTGTCTGGTTATGCCAGTAAGGGCAAGAGGAGATGGCTGGAGCATCCTGTGGTCACTAGTGAGGCCCCAAAGCGTGCTCCTCTCATCCCTGCGCCTCCTGGGCCGCCTGCCTGCACCCCTCCCTGCTAGGCTGGGGCCGTCTCCGGGTGTCCAGGTTGGGGCAGGGCCTGCCAAGAGTTCAGACACCGCCCAGGGATTACTCGTTTTGTGGACCAGAAAGGCCGATGCCGGGAGTACTGTCCTGGGGCAGAAGGGAGAGGGGAAGAGGGGGGAGTTCTCTCAACACTTTGGGTCGCGCAGGGCATTCAGTGGGAGAGGGAGAAAATGCTGAAGTTTAAACAATTATTCTAGCTTCCATTTATTAAGTACTATATGCCGGACTCAATGGTGAACACTTCATGGCGGAGAAAGGAGTCTCAATCATTTCCCCCAGTTACACTCGGCTGGTGGGAACTGTGGTCAGCCCATTTCACAGTTGAGAGCACAGAGGCACAGCGAGCCAAGTACATTCACGCTTACTTAGAGTTCAGGTTAAATTCACCGAGCCGCAGAGCGGACTGATTATGTTTCCTCTCGGCGACACAGCACTCTATTTTAGAGTCGCAGTTTTACAGGTGAGAAAACTGAGGCTTGGCTACTAAGTGATAGCATTGGCTTGGGATGGCATTCGCTCCTTCTGCAAAGACTGGTCTCCTTCCCTTAGGCGGAGCCTGCGGGGCCACAGCGCAACGAGCCCGGGGCCGGTGGCCACCTCCAGGTTCTAGACTCCAGAAACGCGACGCTCTTCGCTACCTCGGGCCTCGCCGGCACACATCGACTTGTTTATCATTGGTCCTCATTCAGGTCCCGCCCCTGGCCTCCATCTGTCCACCTGCTAAGTGGGCACGATAACTAGCCTTTAGCCCAGGCTCACCGCGCGGCTGGGTTCCCTCGCTGCAAGTCGAGCCTGACCGGAGCAGGGGGCCCCGCGCAACCGGAGAAGGTCAGAGGCCGGAGCGCACCGCAGCCTCCGGAGCACCCCGGGCGCGGAGGGGACGGGGAGGGGACAGGAGGGGCGGCCGTGTGGGAGGGGGACGCGCGCCCGAGCCCCCCGCCGCCGCCGGGCTGCCGCTCCAGGCCCGCCCCTCGCCGCGCGCCCCGCCCCGCCCCGCCCCGCTCTCGCCTCTAAAGTGCCAGGCGCGCGCCTCCCGCCGCCGCACTTTCACTCTCCGCCACCGCGTGCGCTCCGCGTCCCTCCTGAGTCCGCCAGCCGCCCGCCGGTGCCATGAATGCCAAGGTCGTCGTCGTGCTGGCCATCGTGCTGGTTGCGCTGTGCCTCAGCGACGGTGAGTGCGCTCGGCAGCGGAGGCGTGGGCGCCGGGCTCCGTGCGGGGCCGCGGCTCCTCTGCCCGCGCTGTCCCGAGCGAACCCAGTTCGCGCCGCTTCGCACAGGGGAGGTCGAGGCAGCCCCCTTCGCGGGGCGCGCTCCCTCGGGGTGCGGCGCTGGAAGCCCCAAGCGTAGCAGCCACCACCCGCGCTGAAGCTTCGCGCTCCGCAGCGGGGCTCGGGTCCGGGACGGTGGGCGGCCGCCAGACTCGAGCGGCAGGCAGCACAGGGTCGGGCAGGATCCCTGGGCAGGAGCGCTCCAGGAGCGCCGGGGAGTAGAGCGGAGCCGAGAGCCGCGGGGCCCGGGGGGTGGCGCGCCCACCGTCCCCCAGCCCGTGCTCCCCAGCGCGCGGCTCGGTTTCTCCGCGCGAACGGACTCCGAGGCCCCGCTGCGCCGGGTGCGGGAGATGCGTGTGCGAGAGAGCGCTTCGCCAAAGCCTGTCTCGCATCGCGACGCGCGCGTGGCGCCGGCGCGGTCGGGGGCTGCTGCGCGGCGTCCCCTCCGGGCGAGGCTGGCCCTGTCTCCGCACCCACCCTAGCGAGGCTTCGCGGGCGAGCCAAACCGAGCAGCTGTCGGGTCTGCGCCCCCCGCCCGGCCGCGCTTCTGCACAGCCCCGCGGGCCGCAGCGCCGCGGCGAACCCGGGCGCGCGTCCAGCCTGCTTCCCGGCCTTTTCCCGGGGCCACCGAAGAGAGGCCCAGGGGCCGCCAGGGTCGCTCATGCCCCTCCCCGGTCCCCCAAACACACCTGCAGGCTGGCGCCTTTGTCACCGGCCAAGCCATCGCTCTTACCTCAGAAGGAGCGCTGCCGCAGAGTTCAATCGCCAAGGCCTTAGGCCACTGGGAGAGGTGGTGTCCTGTTTCACTGCGAGAGGGAGAGCGCTTTTTTTTTCTTTTGAAGCTTGAGAGAAACCTCGCTGACCTGTCACAGGACACCACTGCTGCAAACCAAAATAAACTGTTGTCTTTAAACACGCAAAACAAGCCATGTTCGCCAGGCCACGCTGTCCTTTCTTGGCTGCGAAGTTGCCAACAAACCCTGCGAAGGGCTGAAGGACACTCGGAGTGCTCTTGGGGCAGCCACGGTCCAAGCAGGGCCTGAGTCCCCACAGCCCTAGGCTGGGTTCCAGCCGCCGACCCTCCTCTGCATCCTGGCAGGCGGTGGACTGGAAGCCGGTGTGGGTAAGGTGACCATGCATGTGTCTGGGCCAGGCAGCAGGGCCAGGACTACCAGGGGCTCACCGCTGACTGCCTGGGGAGTGTTTTTTAAAAGTGTAGCAACTGAAGGGGCACCTGGGTGGCTTCTTGGTTGAGCGTCTCAGGTTTTGATCTCAGGGTTGTGAGTTCGAGACCGAAGTGTGTGTGTCTGTGTGTGGGGGGGAATGTAGCAAGTTGCTTGGCAGAGCTGCAGAGGGACTGGATGGAAGGCAATTTGGATTTTACTGCCTAGCCGAAAAAGTATGCGAAGCTGAGTCTCCACGCTGACCCCCTAGGTCATGGGAGACACTCTGGTTTGAGCATTAACAATTCAGTGTCTGGTGAGAGTGGAGTGGTCATCATGCACCTCTCTAGGGAGATGGTGCTGCCGCCCCTTCCCTGGGGAGCTGCAGAAGGTATGGGAATGTGGGCACCCACCCAGCTCATTGAATCCTAGGCATAGTTGACCAAGAAGGAGCACAGAGGGAGTAACGGTCGGTCTCATTAACAGACTCATCCTGATCCTGGGAAGGGTTGGTTGCTTGCCTCTTTGAGTTGCCGTCTTGGTAGCCAAGTGGCCAGGACAGGGTCCTGGGCTCGAGGCCGGTCTGCTTCTCCTTGCATTCATAGGCTGGAATGTACTTTTTGACCTTCTGGAGCCTGTGTGTCCATACTGAGTTCCAGAGCTGCCCTTGGAGACACCCTTGTTCAGGGTCAGGATCAGGCTGCTGCCCTCCCTCCACTGGCTGACCTCAGCCAAGCAGCGGGGCCCCTGGATGCCCTGGGCTTTCAGGGGTTAAATTCAGGGTGGGCTCCATTCTGAGGCCAGGTTGGAGAGACTGGCCAGGGCTCCTGTTCCTGCGTTAGAGTGGAAGGTTCTCTTGGAACTGCTCTTGAACAGAGCCAAGTTCACCAGCTCCCAACCCGGTAACATCTAGGCCAATCAGAGTCACCTCCAAACCAGTTGGGAAAGTTAGTAATATTGACAAAAAGCTGGAGGAGAGGGCACAAGTGGACACAGCAATGCGTCCTCTTGGTAAGAGCCCTTGGTGCTCTGTCACTTTAAAAAACCTGTTGAAAGTCCCCACTTGCCAGTCAGGCAACTGGGTCCTGGGAGCAGGAATAAGAATTGCCTTTGAAGGAAATGGATAATCCCAGGGGGTAGAGGGGGAAAAGAAGAGAAAAGAAAGCCTGTGTTTTGAGCTCAGAATCAGCTCTGATTTCTGGCCTGATCTCCACTACTGGCTTAGCGGAGCCAGACTAGCTTGCTGACCCCCGACCCGGGAGAGCAGCAGCCCCCACCGGCTGAAGCGCTCGCCCTGTGTACCTTTCAGCTTGCTGAGACCCTTCCTGTGTCACCGCCCAAGCCCAGTTCTCCAGTCCCTGCTCAGCTCAGGAGGACCCAGGAGAATTCCAGGGCGACTGGAGGCGGGACACTCAGAGGGGAGACTTTTGGCTTCTGCTTTTCCTTTACCCTGACCACCCAGCCCCCAGCCCCCAGCCCTGGGGTCCCTTTCCCAGGCGATCTGGTTACAGGGCGGTAAGGGCAGGGCAGTAGGAGCTTCCCCTGCAGGGACTGGGTGCCCTGGCTGAAGGCCAGCCCAGCAGACTTTCTGGAGTCAGGTATACAGCGAAGGCTGCTGCGGGTGCTCTCCAGTACCCTGAGTCTGAGCACCCTGAAGCCAGGCTTTCTCCTTACCGGTTTTTAGGGAACCACGTTTGATCCTAAGGGGCCAGGTGGTCTGCTTTTTCCCTGACTTGGTGGCTAAATAGGCTGCTGTTTGCAGACCCTGCCATCTCTCAACTGAATGCAGCCTTTAGGAGAATGAAGTCCCTTACTCACAAGGTTTCCTGCAGCTTCCCCAGCTCTCTCGCCCCAAAGTACAGAACTTCAGGACCAGCAGGAGGCCTCTGGGAGCTCTGTAAACAGGCAGACTTTTTTTTTTTTTTTAATCTCTGGACTGAATATTCTCAGACATACATTTAATCCCTGATGAAAGGATCCACAAATTCAAATAATTTGGGGTATTAAGAAGGGCTTGGATAAAATCTGCCCAAAAGAAAAAAAAAAACCCACAAAGATCCCAGCCCCCCAAGGCTTGCAAGTCTAGACTTAGAGGGTGAGTGGTGGGTTCCGCAGGAGCCCTTCGCTTATTTAAACTAATGAGTGTCAATTATGGCATTTTGCAAATTGGTGAATTGGCAAACAAAGAGGTAATATAACCCAGGAGGCTGTAGCATCTCTGCACAATGAAAGCCACATTTGACTCCAGCCCTGATAATCTCCCTGCCTTCAGGGGAGTGCTGGGGAGAAGGTGGGCCCTAGGCCTGCCCTCCAAGGACTCCCAGGTAGGAAGCCTGCCAGGATTCTTTTGTGGTTGCCTGGGCTTAAGGTGAATGTGAGGGGAGAGGATTGCAGGAGGGGGAGGGGGAGGGGGGAGGGGGCAGCATTCCCCTGGGGAACTACAGTGGCTCCTGGGACAAGGGAGAGCCTGGAGCCTCCTGCTTCCCCCTCCTCCTTCCCTGAGTAAGGAGGGCTTTCTTAGTTGGCCCTGGAGGAGTTTATTTTGCAGAGATTAACTGGGAACCCCAGTACCTTGGACTGAAACAATTCTCTCCTGGGATTAGTATATTTTATCTTAAAATGCCTGAGCAAGGGGCCGTTTCTTTTAATTCCCCAGTCTCCTAGGGTCCAGCTCTCTACAGCTCCATTTGCCCTCTGGCCCTATGGAAGCTGGGCCTACCCCCAGAGCTCACTGTGCTGCCCAAGAGCTCTTAGCAAGGATGCCCCTGTGACTCGTCCCATGGCTCTTGATCCTAAACATCATTCCACCACCTTAACCCTCAGCCATGGACCCATACACACATGTATCCCCAAGGTCCAGCAGGATCGTAACAAACTGCCCTGTTTTCACTACCTCTTCTAGGGAAACCAGTCAGCCTGAGCTACAGATGTCCTTGCCGATTCTTCGAGAGCCACATTGCCAGAGCCAACGTCAAGCATCTCAAAATCCTCAACACTCCGAACTGTGCCCTTCAGATTGTGTAAGTCTGAACATCATTTTCAGGAGTGTTGCATCTTAGTGGGTATAGTAGCCCCTAACGCAAAACTTGTAAAAGCTAGAGAATTGACCCATGCTGAGCGGCTAGCCTTGAAGTTGGCATAATTAGAGGCAGCTGTGATTACCAGGAGGCTTTTGCGTAAGCTACCAGGCAGGAGTTTCAAAAGACACTCTTCCCTTGGCGCCCTGCTGTGCTCCTGGTTCTTGCCTCCTTTTTTTTTTTTTCTTTCCCAAATTTCCTCCTTTAGCATAGTAGATGACAGTACAGTGGGATGCCTCCAGACCAGAGAAGCAAGGAGTTTCTGCTGAAGTCCCATAAATTAGACAGCTCTCTGCCGATCACGGTGGTCTGTCCTGCCAGGTTCCAGGTTTCAGTGTTCTAAATCCATCCTCATCACATAGCGGAATCTCACAAGACCCCAGTTCAGGTTAAGTGGTCTTTAACCGTTGGGTAAAACTCAAACTTTTCAGCTCACTTAACTGCTTTTTCTCAAACACAACACATGAATTTTTGTTCTTGCTGGTGTTGATGGCAACTGCTGATGTTTGATGTCATTTGTGTGGGAAAGGAGACAAATGAAAATTACACCTAGAGAACACATGAAAACCTCTCGCCCGGGGTGCAGGAGGCTGGGTGAGGTTCAGCAAGAGAGCCTCGCACAGCTGCTCATTGCTTGGCCCCCGTGAGCTCGAATGCACCGTGCTTGCACCCAGCGAGTATGGTCACGTGTCTAGATGCAGGGGTGCTGAGGCTCAGGGTCTTTTACGAGGAGCTCACCTCCTGAGAAGTTCCAGTGCTGAGAATGGGGTGGGGACACAGCAGTGGGAAGGCAGGCTGCAACTTCCTGAAGCCTTTGCACCCCAACACCAACTATTTTAAGTTCGATTTTGTCTTCTTTTTGCCAGCCTTAGCTGTCTTGAATGTGTTTGTCATTTAAAGGGTGTTTTAGGCCACTGGAAGATGAATGTTTTTTCACTGACTTTGCTTACAATAAAATACTCTCTCTCCTTTGAGAAGTATTTTATCAGATACTGAATTTAGCTCCATAGACCTGCTCTGCAGTTCAGATTACGCTGGTGCACATGCTAAGAATGCACATTGAAGTGAAAGAATCCGGATATAATTTGCAGGTCTGGGCAGACACAGAATCACACCCTTCCTCTGCGCATGTCAGTCACTTCACAGGCAGGCTGCATGATTCCCCTGGGTGTCCGTCCCCAAGCCACTATGCTGGCCTGAGTTGTCCTCACACACCCATGAGTGGCTGGGCAGGGGAGTCCTCAGGCTGCTTGAGGTTACTGGTACCCAGGGCTTGATGGAGGGGGACCCGGAGATAAGTCCAGTCTGCCCCCAGGAGGTGTCGGGTGAGGAGGTGTGAGTGGAGCTGAGTAGTGGGAGGAAAGTGCCCTGTGATTTTTTAAAAAACAAATGCAACCATGGAGCATTCAGTGAACCTGTAAAATCTCTCTGGAAATCCCTTTCTGGCAAATTACCTGCACTGTCCCTCCCCCACTGTCCTGTCACCCCCCCACCCACACTGTCCCTCCCTCACTGTCCTGTCACCCTCCCCCGCACTGTCCCTCCTTCACTATCCTGTTACCTCCCACCCGCATTGT